TGCTATTTGGTAGCGATGGCGTTCGGAGTAAGATATTAAGCTTCGAAAGCACTCGATCTGCGTCGACTGGAATAAGACCGGTAGCAGCGAAGCTATTTTGAATAATATAAGGTTGAAAGGCCTCCGTGCGCGCCCGGGCGTACTCTGCGAGGAAATCGAACTTATCGATATAGTTATACGACGCACGAGCAAGATCGCTTACGTAGCGACCGTATGCGCGTTTTAATATAGCAAAACACCTAACATCAAGCGGTTGTAAAAGATGCGAAGAGTGTGGAGGCATACAAAGTGGTATAACATGATTTTCTGTGCAGATCTGGTCGAATTAAGGTGTAAGATAGCTACCGTGGCCGTCAAGAATTAAGAGTCGATATTTCCCCTTCGTACGTGTCGTCGTCGCTGGAATAAATAGCTTCTGTAGCTACCGAAGGCCAATTTCATCGGTAGTCTAGCCGTTTGGCGAGACCTCGATACGCCAATCTTTTGGAAGCTTCTCGTCGAACCACGACGCTATGAAGTTTTTACCTTTGAATATCACGCATAGCGGTAGCGAGTAGCTATCAGCGCTAACTGCTTCGACCGCTGTAACCCATTTACGATTACCCGGTTGTAAAATCGATCGCCGACTATAATATTCCGCCCTTGTAACGACCTTCTGTGTAGCTATAATCCCTATAGCGAAGCCGGTCTCGTCAAAGTTATAGATATCCTCCGGTTAGATACCATTCGCGTCGATAACATCTTATACGGTCGTAAACCAGGCTCGTAGTGAGGTAGGGTCTTCGTTTTGGGCTCTTTGGTAATCGTAGCGTCTAGAGAATACTGAACGAAGCTCAGGGCGTCGTTGCACGAAGCTTAATAGCCAATTTTTACCTACAGTAGCTAGAGGGTCTTCACCACGCGTAGCTAGTAGAATATTAGCCATTTCTCGCACCATAGAGGGCCTAGGCGCTGCACCACGCGTATCTATAGAGATTATCCACTTAGTAAGCGAATCCTCTTCGTATTGGGTCAATTTATGACCAGATGGGCGCACATCGACGCGTAGGAGGCGGCCGACAGCGCGGTGTTGTAGTGTAGTGCGAGGTATTGCGTATAGCTTCGCTGCTACGCGTATAGACTCGACACGACCATTTTTGATATCGTCAAGGGCTAATAAGATCTTGCCCTCTTGATTGGCTGATTTCTGAGCAGATCCAGAGCGAATTGGTGGCATGGTAGGTGGTTGAATTAGGTGGGTGGGTTAGAAGACGCGTTTTTTGATGGGGTGGCTCGGTCGGCCGGGTGGCTCGGTCGGGCGGGAATTACGTTATAGCTATTAATTATTAGTATTAGTTTAATAGTATAAGTAATTAGCTTTCTAGGGTAGTCATTAAACCCTCGGGTCGGTACTTCCTTTTCTAGCTATATTACTAGCTACCTAAAGGCCTTTACGGCCTATAAGGCTAATCGGGTATCGATATATATAAATCTATCTACTCTAGTATTACTAAGCGTAGAAATCAAGAATAAATAGCTATTATAGGCTATTTAGGTATTAAAAGATAAACTATTTCCTCTTCCTAATAACTTCTATAGATTTAGCGTAAAAAGTAATAAAGTTATACTATCTAGGAAAGAGACTTTCCCTAGGCTTAGGTATTTCCTAATTTAGGGGTATTAGTAGTAGTAGGGGCTTCGTAATCGGCGAGTTCTTTAGTAGTATTAATTAAAGTAATAGTTATCGGCTTCTTCGGGTAATTATATAAGATATATCCTTATTTATAATATTTAAAGTATCGACCCTTTTTTAGATAGATCGCTCGTTCCTCTATAATTATTAGTTTATAAGCTAGAGTAGTACCCTTATACTTAATAAAAAGGGATAATATAGGGCGTCTACATAAAGTAGTAGTTATAGCTAAGCCTAAGGCTAATCTAGAGATAGTTATAACCGTTTAGGTACGATAAGATTCTTTTTACTTATAAAATAAGCTTAGATTTAGGGCTATATATTAGTAGGTAATAATAAACCTCTTAAAACTAACGTCTAGATTATCGAGTAGGTATATTATCTAGATCTAGAGTATTAGTAATAGTTTACTATAAAGGTTATAGAGTTAGTTTTACTTAGGCTACTAAGCCTTTTTAGCTAAGCGAGAGAAATTAGTAAGGAAATCGCTAAAATTATCCTTAGGCTTTATAGTTAGGTAGATATATTCGTAGAGTACCTCTATAGCTTAGTTTAGGTTTAAGAAGATACTCTCGAGATACTTAATTATATCCTCTACGTCGCTATATAGGTTAGACGCTCTATCTCTTATTTAGGAACTAATATAGAGTAAGGCCTTACCCTCGGTACGGCTCGAAATATAGTAGATTTAGTCGGACGGAGTTAAGTAATAATTAGTATTACTATATAGCTTATATCGAATCTAGTTTATTTACTAGTCGAAGCGTACGGTCTTACTATTACTAAAAAGAGAAGGGTCGGGGAGTTTCGTAGTATAGTAAGATATAGTTATTAAGGACTCGTAGATTAATAGATAGTCTTACCTACGCTCCTATAGGTTAATAATCTTTATAGTAAACTAACTAGTCTTTAGGGTAATAGTCTTAAGATCCCGTTATACCTCCCTATATTTAGCGTTTATAGTATCCCGCTAGTTAGTAAGAGTTCGAATTTCGCGGTACTCTCGGCGGAGAAGGTTAAGGAGTTATTTAGGTATATAATTCTTAATAAAATTAAGGTTAAGGTCTCCCTTAGAGGAGAAAAAGATCGGTTTATCTAGTCCTTACTATCTAGTAGGTTCGGCGCTAGCGATTTTATCGTTATTACTATTCGTTTCGTACTCTCCGGCTAGATTCTCTAGGGTCTAGTCGTAAGGCTTATTAGCCGTAGTACTCTAACGGCGTCGGATTGTTAAATAGGATCGTACTATAATATCGGTTTATCTTAGTAGGGGAAGGTTCGGTTCGGTTCGGTTAGAATTATTTAGGATTCGTCGGTTTCGGTTTAGGGTAGGACGTCGCTCTAAGTAAGATAGTAATAGCGTATTGTCTATATCTATATAACTTAAAGATAACAGGAAAGGGTAAAAAAGGACCTTCGTTATATATTACGATTATAGAAAGAGCTAACTAGAAAAGTAACTAGGTACATTTACGAAACAACGAAGGTAAAGAAGGAAGAAACTACGGAGGCTCTAGTAACTATCTTATAGAGAGCTTATACAAACAGGCCCTATTAGGTTAGCTTAGTCGGGTGTTTCTATCACTCCGCGTCCATTAGGTGATCTCCGTCCATCGTTCTGTCATGCGTCACACTTATTCCCGATCTAGCTTCTAATGCTTATAGGAACTATGCGGGGATTTGCGCCTTCTGGTTTCCAGCCTAGTACGTATACGAAGTTTCCCGTAGCAAGATTAGATGCCTTACTACTATTAGACTAAAGAAAGTAGTCCTAACGCAACAAATAGAATAAATATAATAACAAAAAAAGTAGAAAACCCATGCGCCGCCTCCGAGTCCGTCGCCAGATAAACAATGAACGGCCTGACTGGTCCGCATCATCATCGTGCAGGGCTGAGAGTAACTGAGTCTTGTTCTCGTTCTCGAAGACTCGCGAAGCAACAGAAGCTGCGAGATTGCGGCGTTTGGTTCTGGCTGGCTTAAGCTGGGATTCTTATGGTTTTTGATGAGTATGCTAGCACAGTACCAGACTATTTCTGTGCGAGGGACAACTATATCAATCTATCTGCACATGCGTTTTGGATTGTTAGAATGTATGAAAGGGCTTCGGCCGCGTTTTTACATACCCCAAATCTTTTAGATGGACTGTCACCAGCAGGAAGCTCATTACTCTGGTCAGCATGACGCGGTTCGTGGACATCGAGGATGGAAGGGGCAAGGATCGGAGGTGCATTGACAGTGGCTTTGGAATCCTCACGAGGATGAGGGCATATCAGAAGTACGACGGGCCCGGATTCTGATATTAACTGCCCATGTCGGAGTTGGGTGATATTTGGAGCCGGTCATTCATTTCTATTCTCCATTATGTGGCTTTACCTTTCTGGCACGGCTCCCTATTCTGGGGTTATTTTTACTTCGTACATATTCGAGATGGGCGGTTCTCTCTTATCATTATAACAACTGGTCGCTCCTCCCTTGGTGTGCCGATGGAATTGCTAAAGCGGTGGCCTATCTACTATGGTACCTCTCTGGGTATAGAAGTAGATTGTATGAGAGGTAGTTATATCTCGAGAATCAGTCATCGCACGAGAAAATACTACTAAGTTTAATTGTACTAGCAATCAATTGTTACGAACTATTTCAGAATGGCAGTCTGTATTGCAGCCCTCGTTATGTTGTCTAGGCCGTTCCCAAAGCATTGAGCCGAGACCAGTACCAGTACCGTGCGCTGCTGCTAATCGCCTTTGTCCAGAAGGCACTGGTACCTTTGCCTGAGTTTCTTGGCGACCCAGTGTCGTAGATGTGCGCAATAACCAGAAAGGGGTAAACGCGTCTCGGACGATCCTAATTGGTTGCGTATTTCGTTTCGTCTTATGTTGACCCACGCTAAGCCTCAACAGTGTTGGCCACATCGGATAATGATTATACTAAAGCTATCCTAAAGTTATACTAAAGCTATAGAGCCAAGCATAGTACAGTCTTATGATCTGTCGCGCAGGATGAAGCCTTCGGCTCCAGTTCGTACTTCACAGTATCTGCTATAAGAAAGACCCGTTCCTTGATTTGCACCCCCTAAAATGCGCTCTAGATTCGAACAGAAGAATAAGCATCGCCCGATCCCTGCTGACTAGCAGAAAGGTTGATCGTCGCGGCCTTCGTTAAAAAAGGAATATCGCTCACTAAAGACTCTACTTAATCTACTGATCGATCCGCACTGCTTCTTTGCTGCCATAGTCCTTCTACGACCTCCTGCTCGTCATTTCTTTTCCGACCCACAAATTCCCACTCCTTCCTTATCGAGCACTTGATCTCAGAGCTCAAACGTACCATGCACCTAAAATCAAGCGTGCCCAAGTATCGGCTGAGTGTCAGCGCTAGTGCGGATTACGACCCAGTCACGCCCCAAGTGGTGCCAGTCAACGGCGAGACGCTACGAATTGACAACGAGCATGCAACAGTGAGCCTCTGTGTCCGGATCCAGAACTGCACCGGTAAGGAGATTTCCTTATCCGGGATGGTATTCTAGTTCCGGCTGTAGGAGAGCTAATGACCGTAATAAATAAAAAAAAGGGTTCTCAGATGATTCGTCGGAGACGAGCAGCTATTGGAAAGACCAATACTCAATATCGTTCTCCGTCATCTTTAAAGAACCCGTCAATGGCAACAATCTTCTTTTTGGAAACGACCTCGACCACCCTATACGTGACCGCCTGCCACCGGGCTTCAACACCGCGCTGCGCCTGGTCAATGGACTATCAACCCTGCTATTGAGGGCGACGCATACGCCGACAATCTCTGCCTATACAGTCCAGCCTTAGCGACGTGGAACCAGTTCGCCATATGCGAGAAGATCTAGAAATCGGACAACTTGACAAAGGGACATAAAGCTGTGGTAGTGGAGGGCGCAGAGGGCGCACAGGCTACGACGATCCGGGAGGAGTTGAATATCCCTAACACGCCGGCGGTACGGCGGAAACACTTTCTAGATGAGACGAATAGAAAGAAGTTTGACTTCGAGCCGAGCAGGATATACTCGGCTGATTTTGGGGAACCCGTATTTATTTTTCAATGGTGAGTCACAGCGAACAGTTTACTTGTTGAAGTTGAGCTTGATAGGCTAGTGATAACTATAATTGTGCTAGATTTCTCTGTCCATCTTCCTGGGTTCACGATCCATTTTATGAGATACGTTGATGAGAACAACCATGGCTTACGGTATTCGCGCAAGGACGGTGCAACAGGTCGCATATACCTGGTGGTGCTCTTCACGCTTATTCTGCGCGACACAGACGAAGAAACCGAGTATAAGGGGTTGGATGGATTTAAGGGGAAGAGCGAGGTGAGCGATGGCGGTCTGGGAAACGTGGGATGGGAGTCGGAGCAAACGGCACCAGAGGTAGACTGAAACTACGTCAAGCCTAATGGCGTACTATACGGCATGATATGTCATCACTATGAGATTGCGAAGGCTGTCATCAACGGCATCCCAGATGGTGTTCCAAACATTGGTCTCCCTTATACGAATATGGAGCGTGCGCCGAATGATTTAGGTACGCCTTTCATGGCGGAATTATATGGCGATGCGTAGTACACTAAGGATGGATATTTGATGCTAGACCGAAAAAGAAAACCATGGAAGATTAAAGAGGTAAAGAGACAAGCCACTCAACAGCTTCATAAGGAAGGGGTAACCTCGGTAGACGGGGACTTTGTGCCGCTGCCTGTGAAGTACTACCCTTTTACCATCTGCTGCCATTCAGACTCCCCAGCATGCTTAGATATTATCAGGACCACCAAAGAGGTTATTGATGAATATAGCTAATGATTCGTAATGCTAGATCCAAGAAAATATAAGATATTTATTTTTACGGCCTTAGCGCAAGATAAAGCTATTTTAGTATTCTCTTAGGGGGGACGGTGAAAAGACCCTGCCGACCAAACGAAAGTCCGCATAGATTGATGCTAATTGATCGCACAGCGCAACTGGGGCAAACGACGACTTTATAAGCCGCGGTTTCATTCTCGCAAATAATGGTCAAATCGCTATAATCTGTGTTGAGATACAGGCTAAGTCAATGTTTAGTGGCCAGGCTTCGTAAGAACAGATGCCGTCCCAGATGATTTATTTAATGCTCACCTAGCAACGAGGCCGAGTATAATCTCTTGGTCCCCCCTGTCCTGCATCTCGGTATTGCAAAGTCAGGGTCTAGAGAGCCGGGCTCTCGATCATCGACCATAGATGACTGTAATGCCCTGCTCTTTTTCTTCTTCATAGCTAGGTGTAAAATGAAAGGGGAAGGTCATCATAGTTGCCAGATAATCAACCAGGTCGCCGGGACATAGCGCTGGTGCTCGTCTAAGCCTCGATGACGTATGGTAGGAGCCAATCTTTCGGCTGCTTAGTCTTAGACCCAACAGACCATGTACAGAATTTGCCTATCCTTTATGACTTAGCCACCGGCCATGAGTCTCCGCTGTTGGTGTACTAATGTATCTAGTGGTCGGAACCCGGCCAGAGATTTCTTTTGTACTTAGACTGTTAAGTCGCTTCACATCCCATCCACAATTGCATCATCAAGTAGCATTACAACATCTCTTGCGATATTTTAAAGCTACTCAACATACCAGATCACCTACCGAACGGGACAACTAATCGGTTATACTAACGCGGATTTCGGTGGGTCTGTGGTAACAGATAGTGCCTATTCCACTTTTAGATATATATTCCAACTGGCGGGAGCACGAATATCCTAGTCCTCTAAGAGAGAGGGGGATATCGCTACATTTACTACTCATGCTGAATCCATTAGTCAATATAATACCATTCTTCATCTACAGTAGCTTCGGACGTTCCTTGCCGAAACCAAGCTATTTCAGGCTCTAGTCATGAACATCATAGCTAACAATCAATCTGCGATTACGTTATCTCACAATCCTGAATTTCACAAACGGACAATACATTTAAGTGGGAAATTTCACTAGCAGAGAGCTATGATCGACTCAGCAGAAATCGATCTTCAATATATACAGACAGACCTGCAGGCAGCTAACGGGCTTACCAAGGCATTAGGACCAAAGCCATTCTCGAGGTTCTACAAACTCAGGCATAGAAACAAATGATTAAAGCAAGGCGCCCTTTCCACCTTTTCCCCCTAGACAGGTTTTAGTGGTTTTAACGAGGCCTAATCCATCCAAACAATCCAGTAACGCTCTGTTCGAGTGATCCTGAGTGTAAATTTTGTGATCGATCAAGCCATACCGGAATCAATTCCTGAACTCGCGGAATTACTAGGATTAATTGGAAATCAACCTGGAGGTTGCATACTATATATAAATCCTCAAGTTTCCTGTCTACAAAATACAAGCAATCTTCCTCTGAATCACAGCACTTTTAGCTAGTCGAGGAAGGGTGTAGTTAATCGGCGCCGAGGTGTTGCGCAGGAAGTCGGCGCGGGAGGTTGCGTTAGTGATCTCGTCCACCAGGTTCTCCGGGAATTGGACTACCATAGTTAATATCCACGGTGTGAGCTAAAGGATCGACGAGATATTAATGAACAAGCGAGTCATTGTGTGCACCTACCGATCGACCAAGTTTTGTACTGGCCAGGTCCGGCCACCTCAATGTTGGCTACGTTGTTCGTGATGATGAAAAACGTCCCCAGACATGTCAGAGGCGGCGCTCACAGCGCCAGAGGAAAACTTGTCCCGTGACAGAACACCACCGTACAGGAAAGTCTAGAAGCTTGGATTGTAGAGGATCTGTTGAAGATTCTTGTCGGTATCATGGTAGTATATCCTGTGGTCCTCCGAAGCACCCACGAGAACGACCGACAAGCTGGTGTCCTTCGCCGGCTTGGGCATACCGGCAGAGATCAACTCGTCGACGCCTGACGACACGAACTCGCCTGTGGCGAGGCTGCATTGCTGGTACGAGTTGATGATATCGTCATTGAAGTCAATATACCAGAAGGACGCCTGTTGCGCCAGTCAGTTAATTTATCTTCTATTCTCATCGTCGTTTGGGAGATCTGCGACTTGGGGGCATTTACAGCAGTCTTCGCATCTGCACCGGTCTCATAGTAGCTGGCTCCCGCAACAGAGGTATTCGATTTGGGCTGATAGCTCAGCTGGAAGTACTTGGGTGAGCTTAGATCGAAGATAGGCGTGTTGTTGCTGTTGCAGTCACTATACATCAGCCCATTAGTAGTGGCGTTCTGGATTAGGACCTGTGGCCCGAGGCTGGTCAACGACGGACATGCTATTGACAGCTGAGCATGTTTGCGCCGCCAGAAACAGCGGTAACGGCAATAGCGGCCTGCGGGGATTTGCGGAGGCCATCTTCAAAATGACTTAGCCCGGTCTTTCTTGTCTTCCCTTCTTTTGCCTCTTTTCGTGACCTGGAAGCTCTCCGCATACCAAAGCCCACAATTGTCATATGTTCAATACCAGCTAGGGCTGAGCAAGAGTGCACCACCACTGAGAATCAGGCGAGTGTACAATGGTAACAGTCACCCTAAGGAAAGCTGAAAAGTGCAGAGACAGGACGGCGACGTCGCCGGAATCGGGGTCAGCACCACCACGCCTTAAAGGCTAAACCCCCGAAAAATCTCTTATAGCCGTTGGTGCGGTCCAAAGCACGTGGAGTAAGCAGACCAAGACCTAAGACAGGCTTGCCTGCCGTAGGCGCGTTGCTGCAGGAATGGCTATATGGCTATTTGTTCCGTTTACTCCCTTCATTTCGTAGTGTAGTGTTTGGAGTACAACTTGTGAAATTCGTTCTCTTCTTTCTGAAGGCACGTCGAGAGGCAAGTAATACGGTGCAGGTGATCTTCAAATTACGTTGCTCCTCTCTTAGTTGGGAAGGAGGACTTGGGCAATGTTTCTTGTATACATTGTGCCGCGGCGGTAGAGTATCACCGGAGCCTCGACGTGATCTCTCAACTCGCCCAGTTGTAGCCTTCATCGTAGCCATTGTCCGGTCCGGTCTCGTGGGTGTCAATGCGTTGATACTCGCTTGTTAGTTCTTAAAGGTGCTATTCGTGAGTAGCTGTTGCAAGCCATGTCCGGTTCGGCGGCACCAGCCTCGCCGATCGGCGGCAAGACCACCGAAGTTAGAGCAGTAATTCGCTCTTCTGTCCGATGCGGAGGTTGGAGTCGTGGAAGTTTGCGGGGAAACCTCCACCCGCAAATACCCCAAGCACATCCCACATCGGGACAAGACCACCGAAGTGTAGAGCAGTGATTCGCTCTTCGGTTCGATCCGGAGGTTGGAGTCGTGGAAGTTTGCGGGGAAAACTTCACCGGCAAATACCCCAAGCACATCCAGCACATCTCCCATATAAATGCGGAGTCATGGCCTCGGAGTCGACAAATTAATCCTTTTCCTCTCATTCTGACCGGACCGCACTATGGAGACTCACAAGGTGGTCGCCCCGGCTGCTGATGTTCATCAGGAAAAAGCAAAGCCAGATATCAGCCATGTGGAAAAACTACGCGAGCAGCAGGTGATGCCAGAGTTCGATCCTGAAATCGACCGACGAGTCACTCGCAAGTTCGATCTCCATATCATGCCATGGCTCTTTGGGATCTGGTTAGCCACATAACAGGCAGGCACTCCTGCAGAAACACAAACTAAACGGCTTGACAGGCTCCTCGCGTTCATCGACCGGAGCAATATTGGCAATGCAGCAATTGACGGTCTCAAGACCGATCTAGATATCGCCACGGGCACGAAATTCAACATTTCCCTTCTCGTCTTCTACATCCCCTATATCCTGGTTGACATTCCGAGCAACTGGATTGTCAAGCGTATCCGAGCGGGCTTCTACCTGCCCGCGCTCATCACCGCATGGGGCATTGTGAGCACCTGCATCGGCTTTACCAGGTCGTTTGCTGGGCTTGTGGTCACCCGGATGCTCCTAGGCTTGTTCGAGGGTGGCTTGCTCGGTGCCATCGTGATCTACCTGGCCATGTTCTACCGCCGCCACCAGATGATGTACCGTATCGGCCTGTTCTATTGCGCGGCTCCGCTGTCCGGCGCCTTTGGCGGCTTTCTGGCGACGGGGCTGGCCAAGATCCGATACCATGGGTATAACCGGTGGCCGTGGATCTTCTTCAGTCAGTTCCTCGCTTCAGTGGTCCACTTTTTTACTGACGAGCTAACCGTCGCCGCACATTCTAGTCGAAGGAGTCATCACCGTTGTCTTCGGGGTGATCTGTTTTTTCATGATGCCGCATACACCCGCACAGGCCAAGTTTCTCACCGGGGAGGAACGCGCCGTGGCGATGCAGCGTATGGTGATCGACTCGCACGGTGCTACCACGGTCGAGGACGTGAACGAGGAGAAGTTTCAATGGCACTGGGTGAAAATGGCTTTGCTAGCGCCACAAACCATTTTCTGTTCGTTGGCTTGGTTCTTTCTCCTGGTCCCATTATACGTACGCCCGCCCTATACACGCTTTCGGGTGCTAAAAGCTCTAATTAACAAGTATAACTTCTGAAATATAGAGTTATTCCTTGTTCTTGCCCACCATCATCACAGGAATGGGCTTTGAAACAACGACCGCCCAGCTATTCACTGTTCCCCCGTACATCCTCTCGTTCATTCTAGTACTGGTGACATCGTACTCTTCAGACCGAATCAAAGCTCGCGGCCCGATCATGGTGGCTGGCTGCATCGTCGCTATTGCCGGGTATATCATGTTGCTTGTCGCAAAGGAGAACTCGGTGAGTTACGCTGGAACGTTCCTCGTTGCTGCGGGCGTGTTCCCATCTTCTCCAATCGTGATGGTAAGTCTCGACCAAGCAAGTCTGCTTCTTCATTATTATATTGACCACGATCCATCAGGGCTGGCTATCAAACAACCTCGCTCCGCACTACGTTCGAGCAACGGGTATTGGGTTCGAAATCGCCTTTGCGAATTGCGCCGCTTTCATCGCCTCCTTCATCTACCTTTCCAAAGACGCGTATGTTCATCCCCAGGTTCTCTCTGTATCTCACGAAATATCCAAGCTGACTGACTCTAATGTCACAGACCGCGATATTTCCTCGGCCATTCACTCAGTCTGGCAGCCTTGGTTCTTTGTCTTATCACCGTCTGCACTCAGATGATATATTGCCGGTGGGAAAATAGGAAGCGGGAGCGCGGGGACCGAGATGACAGGCTGCAGTATGACGCAGAGCATCTTTTGGGGCACAGACACCCTGCTTTCCGGTACACCCTCTAGTTAGGAAAGTCGAATTGAAAATGGGTTGACTAGGATTAAGCCTGATCTTTCTACTGTTATCAGCCGGGGCTGAACGAAAGATGGTTTTCAGATTTCTGTGCCTGGCTAGATATCTTCGCAGAGCGAACAGTCCGTTCTAAATTAGGGCTACTCCCCTTCCGGAAGCAAAGTAGTTACGAGATATTGACATGCCCATGGGCGGGTAGGGGTAGGTCGGCCCGCCTATGGGCATGCCCACGGGCCGCCAAGATCGCCATAATGTAATCCACGGCCGGTCGGGTCACCCTAAAACACCATATAAAATGCAATTTTTCCAATATCATACCCCAACGCTCAAGGCTAATTATATAGACTTAAGGTATCATAGTGTTTAATATATCATACTAGGTATTTTTATTAGGTCGAGAAATATTTTAGGGTATTATAAAGTAGATATATATATCTTCATCATTCGATCAGAGCGTATTTTTGGTAATAGTAGTAATTAATCATTTTCTGAATATATTAGCTACACTATACTATTTCTAATACTAGAAAAATCATACTATACTAAATTAAGCAGAATCGTCTTCTTGTTGTTGATATATTATAACCTGAAAAATCGCATTTTGTATAGTGTTTTAGGGTGACCCGACCGGCCGTGGATTACGTTAATATAGAGAGGCATAATAATGTAGTTAATGTAGTAATTTTTGGTATTTAAATAGTAAATTTACTGACTAACTTTTTAAAAGGTGATTAAATTACATGAAATGATCCGCATTTTGATTTATTAAATGAAATATTAAACAATTTAAGCTACTAGTCTATAAATATAAGATAAAAAGGTGATGTTTCAGTAATTTTAGAAGCAAAATTTTGGTGAGAGCAATCTATTAAAAAGTGGTGGTGTGGTCGCACTCAACAAATATATACATATCTTCAGGTTAACCACTAATTTCTACAACCACTCTTTAATCTCTAGTCGTATCACTTTAAAATATTAATGCGACCGATAAAACCGATCCTTAAAATATATATAACCAAATTTATTTCTTATAATTACCTAGTGAGTAGGCTAAAAAGGGGTGACATTACTTGTTTAGACCAAAACACGTGTAAATAACAAAGGTTAGTCAGTGAGTTATCCACGAAATTAGGCCAAATTAGGCCAAATCAAGCCCCAATTTTGGCCCATGGGAGTCCCATGTCAATGTCTAGTTGTTACGGCAGGCAGAGGTGCGAACTATTTTCAACTCAAGGCCAAGGGAGCAGGCGGAATTCGCCTCGTGATGATCAAGCCTATGGTACCGCCTCTTGTGAATCCGTCACCAGAGTCAAGTCGAGAGAACGGACACCGCAGCAACTAAATGATTCGAACGCTTGTAACGCACGCAAAAAACTCAACGCAAAGGAGAGAAGAGAACTGCTTGAGATCCATTACAACCCCCTCAGCACCTCGAGATTTCTCTGTCCACGCATTGGCTTTTGTACTTTTTGGGCATTCGTTGGGGAGTGGGAGATACTCGATAGACGAGGATGAGGTGTTGCTGGATGTATTAGGCTTGTCACTTTTGATGGCAGACAATTGGGACACCTTTGATGGCGGATAACTAGGGATTCGCTTCATGGATTGGAAGGTGATCAATGAGCTCATTGAATAGTGTGATTACGCGGTCAGCGGTAAACTTGTTGGCATCTGTGACCTCCTTCTGGTACTGAGCGCACTTGTTTTCGAACCAGTTTGGGGAATCAGAGTGGATGTTCCGGAGCAGCATAATGGCGACAGCGAAGGGCGTGATCTTAATGCGATGATTGGATTTACTGTATGCAGCGCGCATCGCCTCGACGTACTGACTAGCTGTGGCGTAGTCAGAGCGGTTTCTGAAAAGTAGGTCTTCGGTGACCCGTTTAGCTGCCGAGAAACCACCGCTTTGGAAGACCTGCTTGGCGTTCCAGATGAAGTCGTCAGCGAAGTCACATGTATACCCACGATCATTGATCAAGTTGTACAGATCCTCAGTCATGTTCCTTCGGAGCCAGGCACGAATATCCCTTGACGTACGGTACCATCCCTTGGCGTCTGAATCGTCAATGAAGCGGGCGAGACCCTTCTGGTCAAGCGTCTCATATCAGTTTTGTAGCCACAGATCGAGCTGGGCTGGGCTTTGGAGAGGCGCATCGAATGTCCACAAGGAATAGGTCTCAGGAGCATCGGTGAGCTGGGTGATGTTCTGAGAATCGGTGGCTATGAAATTGGAGTAGTCCTCGGCGTAGACCTCGGCAAGGACCGCCTAGGACCGGACCAGGACCGGGACCGGACCGCACTATGCAGGGCTTGGTCCTTACTTTTAGGACCGCTGGGCGGTCCTAATTTTTTTAGGACCGGACTAAAGACCGCAAAAAGACCGGACACATGATTTATACATGATTTATGTAGAAAATATAGCTATTTCGGGCTTTCGGCTGACTAATCAAATCTTTTTATGAATTTAACTAGCCTAAATAGGAAGGTCTTGGCAAAATTATACAACTCCGGGGGACCGCAGGGGACCGCAAAAGACCAAGGACCGGACCGCGGTCCTTAGTTTTTTAGTATGGTCCGGTCCTTGCCGAGGTCTACCTCGGCGGGGGTGAGCTGCCTCTGCAGCGGGTGTCCTTGAGGCGACATTTTGGATAGGGCGTTGGTGAATCTGGCGAATCCTGACTACTTTGGTGTAGAGGCTCGGTGGGTTGTGGGTGAATCCTGACTGCTTTCCACAGGGACTCGTTGCTTTGACTCCTGACTGCGGTGTACAGGGACTCGGCATGGATTTTGGGTGGATCGGAACGTACCGCGGGCAGGAAAGGCGTGCCCTTCAATGGTCAAATCGGAATGTGTCCTGGAGATCGAGGAGCAGCGGTTGTTCGAGGATGTGTTGTTGAGTAGCTGTTGCTCATGAACAGGGGAAGGGGAAGGAGAAGGCGAATGCCACAGCAGTGGCGGGGAGGTTGAGGAATCTGGTGTGAGAGATCAAAACAGAGCATTGACGCCCCAGTGCCCGCCTAAGAGAGGCAGGACCCGGGTGTCAGAAACCTGCCATGCCGGCATCCATGATGCCAGCAACCATGCTCCAGGCCCCATGATGCTGGCAACTATCGGGACCGTTATGCTGGTGAAGCATAACTAAATTGTAGCCGGCGAGGACCGCTCTAGCGGGCAAGGTGATAGGACAGACGGTCAAAGTCAAGTCGCAGACCTCATAGTACTCATCTAACGTAGGGAATTGTGTTTGTATACTAGACCTCGGTGAAGGCCGGGTCCGGACCCTAAGAAAAAACTAAGGACCGCCAAGTAGCTAGGACCGCACTACGGTCCCCTACGGTCCCCTACGGTCCCCTACGGTCCCCTACGGTCCCCTACGGTCCCCTATAGTCCTATATAGTCCCCTACTAAGTCCCCCGTAATTTCATAATTTTACTAAGACCTTCCTATTTAGACTATATAAACTAATAAGTTACCTTAAAACTTATATAATCTCTATATAACTAATTTATATATTTATCTTATCTATACCTAGGACCGTACGGGGGACCGGGACCGTAGTAGTACGGTCCTAAAAGTTAAAAAGGACCAAGCCCTATATAGTACGGTCCGGTTCTAGGCGGTCCTTACCGAGGTCTATAGTATACTATTAAACGCGTTCGCCCCTAGGTAGTAAGACCAGAGTCCTCCTCCAGCGAATACTACCAGGTTCAACTCACTGAAGACGCGGTCAAGGTTGCAGCAGGTACTAAAATTGCTAGTGAAATTGTTTCCCCTCCCTGAAAGAGATATTGGACAGATTCAGTACTGTAGTCCTTGCTTCTGCCCACTCTCTCTGTCGCTGTCACCTCTTAGATCTGACTACGGATGACCACTCAATTCCTGAGCAGCAGCTCCCGGTCATATTGGCATTTGTACGTCTGCTGTTGCAGACCAACGCAAATCCCGAGAGTTTCCGACAGAAATGGTGACGCGGTCTGGATCCTTCTACATGGCGTAATCCCTGGGACAAGCTCTAAATGCTCGGTCAGTGTAAGCTTCGTATTCTCTATATACAGCTTCACACATTGATCTTACCTTCTGCATTCGGTTGGTTACCATCTCAAGGACCTGCCTATCAAGGAGGTTCCCGCCTACTAGGTAGACAATGAGCCACCACGATCTATCAATATTGTGTGGTAGATTTTCTGGGACGAGTCACGAGGGCCAAGAGAAATGCTTGGAAGCCGGGAATTTAGGGAGGTTTGGGGGCCGAATCCTTTTGGCGTTATATCTGTGCTCGATTGAGTCTGCCATGAGACTAGCCGCCCAAACGCCGGGGCAGTTACATCTCTACACTGGAGAATGGAGATCGAATTGGGCTCGATTTGATACACGTGGGAGTGTTTTGATTGTGTCAATGGAAGGGGTGTTGCCGCCCCCAAAACTGCCAAGATGAATTCATTTCGGGATTGCTCTTTGCACGTTTCAAATCCCTTTCTTGGCATCTCTAACAGGCTATACAGACTCCATCCACAGAAGTTTTCACTATTTTTTTCGATAGCCTGATAAATCGCTCGAATCGTACTTAAGTATGATCGATCTCCTGTAAAGAATGCTTGCCCATCAATCGCCTTTGTTTTCCTTTTTTTTTTCCTTTTTTCTTTCGGGACTGTTATTGTTGCCGTCACGAAAATGTGGTGGCGGAAACAGACGCTCCTTCCTCTAAGTTGCTTGGCAACGCTTGGCCGTGAGTACCGAGTCTAGTCTAGTCTTGTCAACACTTCCAAGTTTGTCTGTACCTTTGCTGATATTGTAACACAGAGTCCTTTCCGTTCTTTCCTAATGATATTTCCCTATTGTCCGAGCGCACTACATCCATTGGTGGTGGTGTCGACCTGAGAATCCTTCCATTGGGAGATTCCATTACCTACGGCTTCAAGAGCAGCGATGGCAATGGATACCGCCATCAACTCGAACAAGATCTTTCTGCCGGCAACAAGGTGGACATGATCGGAAGTGTCTCCTCCGGCAGTATGCCCGACAACCAGAACGAGGGACACAATGGCGCTGTCATCAGTGAGATCGCAAACTATGCCCAGGCATCTCTTCCTATGCGTCCGAACGTTGTGCTTGTACATGCCGGCACCAACGATATGAATCAGCCCAATGATCCGGATAATGCCCCTGCCCGTCTGGGAAGTCTGATTGACGAGATCGTCAGCGCCTGCCCGGACGCCGCCGTTCTCGTGGCCAAGATCATCCCTGCTTCCAACTCGGCGACCATGTTGCGGATCGGTCAGTTCAACGCAGCTATCTCAGGCGTCGTCGCGCAGCGTGCCGATGCAGGGAAGAAGGTCATGGCCGTCGACTTTAGCACTGGACTGACGACCGGGGACCTGAGTGACGGACTTCATCCGACTGATGGCGGGTACATCAAGATGGGTGATATTTGGTTTTCCGGAATACAACAGGCCAGCGACAAAGGTTGGATCAAAGCTCCTGTACAAGGCGCGAGTTTTGCAAGTGGTGCCTGCTCTGGCAAACTGGTTTGGATGCCTCAGAACGAGATCGCCTCCGGCCCTGGCTTTCAATCGGGTGGATTCAAATCTACATGGATCCCCAAGGATGAAGTGGCCTCGGGAATTGGCCAGGGGTCAGGAGTCCGCTTTGGTGACATCGATGGCGACGGACGCGATGACTATCTCTGGGTTGATGACGATGGTTCCATTGTCCACTACCTGAATACTGGTACTGGGGAAGCTCCCGTGTGGGTGCCTCAAGGTAAGATCGCCAGCGGGATTGGCAAGGATGGCGCCGGTGTTCGCTTTGCGGATATGGACGGTGACGGCAAGGACGACTACCTCTGGGTCTCGGAGGATGGAAAAGTCACTTGCTTCTTGAACAGGCCGGGTGACAGCCCCGGCAAACCTACTTGGGTCGGCATCGGAGAGATCGCAAGCGGAACAGGAGCCGGCAGGGACCGTATCTTGTTTGCCGATCTTGACGGAGATGGCCGTGATGACTATCTGGTCGTTGGTGACAATGGTCAGATCAGCGCTTGGTATAACACTGGAAACTCTGAAAAGCCGGTCTGGATTCCATCGGGGGCGGTTGCCAGCGGTATTGGTGCTGCAGCAGGTGTCCGATTGGGAGATATCAACAATGATGGGCGTGCTGATTACCTCTGGCTTTCCGAGGAGGGCGCCTTGACTGTCTCACTCAATGGTGGTACCGGCCGAACACCCAAATGGCTGCCCCAAGGTGTTATCGCGACAGGCGTAGGCACAAGCAGGGAGAATATCACCTTTGCCGACTTGAATGGTGATGGAAAGGTCGATTATCTTGCCATCACTGCAGAGACTGGCGCCGTGAAGATGTGGCTCAACGCTGGCAGTGGAAGTGCCACCGAGACGGGTGACGGAGTGATGTTTGCGGATCTCAATGGTGCGTTGTCCGCCAATGCTACTTTACCAAACCAGACTGACACTAGTAATTCGAAAAAGGCGATAAACGTGACGATTACCTCTGGGTTGATGAGAAGGGAGCCATCACCGCGTACATTAACGGCGGGGGCTTGCCCGGAGATACACAGATCTGGCTGCCACAAGGAGTAATTGCTACCGGTGTTGGTGCAAAGCGCGAGGATATCCGCTTTGCCGATCTGAATGGTAGGCGATGCCATCAAACCTCCATGGTGGTACAATATATTGACTACTAGAACAGGCGACGGACGTACGGATTATCTGAAGATCAATCCTGATACCGGCGCCGTGGAATGCTGGTTGAATGCAGGCAGCCCAGACGGCAATGACGGTCCCAACGCTGGAAAGGTCACCTGGGTCCCTCAGGGCACTGTTGCAACAGGCATTGGAAAGGGACCCGGTGTTAGATTTGCTGATCTCAACGGTGTGCACCCCCTTCCTCGTAGACGTCTCCGTACCTTTCGACTAACCGGATAAATGGTGCAGGCGATGGCCGGGACGATTATTTGTGGCTTGATGAGAAGGGTGCTGTGACTGC